TTAAATTTTTTTTTTTTTTTTTTTTTTTTTTTTTTAAAAAAAAGGGCCTTTTTACCAGAGAATAATTTCCTATATATTCATTCAAAAGCTTACATTGATTGTTTTATTCGGGATTCTGATTATTGAGTAGTGACTCAGTTTGGCGCGCTAGTCGGTTGTTTTGGTGAGTTATCTCGGAGGGGGTTTGGTTTTGTTGAAGTTTCTTATGCCGAGGTGTTGCTTACGTTCGAGGCATGTTCCCTTGTTAAGCCCTTCCCATGTGTGAGAGTTATATTATCCATTTGTGCATTTATTTCCTGTTTAGAAATAATTGCTTTGGGCTATCGGTGGAGGGTAGTGTTGATTGTTGTAGACAATGCATGATGATTAGGCAAACTAAAACTAATCAATTGGATGTGTCATAGAGTATGACGGTTGATTGAATACATTAACTTTATGTGTTGGTTGATTGTGCATATGGCCAATGTGTTTATATGCATTATGTGTAGACAGTTGATAGAATACATTAACTTTATGTATTGATTGATTGCGTATGTGATTCTGTGTTTATATGCATCACTTGTGTATGGGAGGAGATAGGGGATGTACTCCACGGTTTAGAGGAAGATGGGGGATGTACCTCTAAGCTGGTTAATGGTTTAGGGGAAGATAGGGGATGTACCTCTAAACCGGTCAATGGTTAAGGGAAGATGGGGGATGGACCCTGGGATGCAGCTCATATGCTCACCCATTGAAGTGTTGATATAGCTCATATGCTTATCTGTTGTAGTAGTGATATAGCTCATATGCTTATCTATTGGAATGTTGATATAGCTCATACGCTTATCTGTTGTGGTAGTGATATAGCTCACATGCCTGTCTGTTGAAGTATTGATATAGCTCATATGCTTATCTGTTGTAGTGGTGATATAGCTCATATGCTTATCTATTGAAAGATTTGTTTGATTTGATATAACACTAAAATGTATGTCATCATCGTTTGTGAAATATGGAAGTAGTTTACGTGTTATTGATACAACACCAAAATGTGTATTCACCTTGAATTTCAAAAATGTTCTAGTGATGAACTATAATCTCATCAAAATGTTTTGGCCAGAATACTGAACCTTGTTTTCTAATTCAAAGTTGAATAAGAACTGGAAAGTGAATTGTAACATAAACTTGACTATCCTGGAATTTTTATAAGATGTAAATGGAAGTGTAAGTGTTAACCATCTACCAGTTGCTAATCTCTTAGTCATTGTTTATAGTTAGTTTAGTTTTTTTCTACTGGGCTGTGGCTCACCCTATATGGGGACATCATTTTTAGGTACAGGTAGCTTGCCACCTCTAAGGACATAGCTTGGGAGGCTAGAGGCGGACATACTTTGGTTGTCTTATTTTTTTGTATTATATATAGTTTCAAGCCAAGGGCGTAAGGTGTAATTGAGTTAGCATTCTCTTTTGTAACCAAGTGTTAACTTGGAAAGCTGTAAGCCCGTAGAGCATTTGTTTTGTTGTAAACATGTAATACTTTTGTAATAAAGTACTCTGATGGATAGATGAATGTGGATCTTTATGTATCTATGCATGTCTTTATTGAGGGGTTTAATGTTATTATTTTGAGGGCGCTACATAATTTGTCTAAAGAAATAAAACACATAAAAACGGAAATTTGTTCCTAAATACTAATTAATTTCAAGTGCAGTTTTATGTTCTTATTTTTGCATCCAACAACATATTCAATCCAAAATATGTTGTGTTCTCATTATTGCCCAAAAGGTCAAATGAAAATAGCAAAATATTAAATAAAATTTATAGACGCAGCAATGAAGCTTAAATAAATAAATAAATAAGCTTAAGTCAAAGAAGCATACCTTATTGAAGAGAGGTTGAATAGTATGGTAATTGCTATCCGAAGTATTGCAAAAACTATTGAGCTTTGGCATCAACCTGAGTGTCAGCACGTCCAATTGCAGCAGCTCAATTCCATTCATAGCCTTGCAGATAGCAGTAAAACTTGGCAGGCCTCCAAGATACAATTCCTTTAGTTTAGGAAACACAATTTTATCTGTTGTTTCTATTGTTGTTGATGCTATCTCATTTTGATCTCCTTCTTCGTCACTCAAAATAAGTACTTCCATCTTAAGACAATCAGATACATTAAGTGTTTGTAGTTGAATCAGATCTCTGGCTATGGATAATGAGAACATGCTTTCTTGTTTATCACATCTCTTCAGTTCTAGAGAAGTGAGGTTGCGGAGCTGTACAAGTTGAGTAGGACCCTTCCACAAATGTGTCACTGCAGGCAAGTCCCGTAGTTCTAGCCTTTCCAATGCACTAAAGGCCCCCTATAACGCCCCAATTTTCATAAAATTTGATGAAACAAATCAAACTCGTATTCGTTATCTATTTTCAAAGCAAATTAAATTAATATGCAGAAGTCAATAATCTTATCAAGATTCAACAATAATCTTAAACAAACTAATTCTCTTTTCTTGTTATACTTCATTTCATTGTAGTTTGAGATTTACAAAAGAGATTACGTACGATTACACATACACAATTTCCAAAGCATGGATCTATAACATGTGATACAATACTCCATAAATATTCAAAATTTAAAAGCCATAACGAATTACAAGTTACAATGGTTAGAACCCTATTACAAAAAGAATGGGTCTCTACCCAAAAATATAAACCAATGCTTTACGAAAATAAGCAAACAAAATAAAGGAGCGTTCATGCTCCAAAAATCATATCACAGGCCTTCAACGAGGCGGAGGCAAATCACCAACACCTAAAAATGATTTACCATGAAGGAATGAACACTAATGCCCAGTAGATATAATATTAACAATGTATATGAGATTAACATGATTATGATCATGAATGCAATGATGTGATATGCTTAAAATATAAGGTTTTTTTTTTGTCTTCTTTTCAATAGGATGCTCAATGCATAACTTTCAAAACAATATTCATTTCAACATTTTCATTTAAAAACATCAGGGCAGTAAAAAAGACATTGGAATTCCCTGGTATGTGTCTGCAAATAGGTTCTCAAGCACTACCAAATATTATTTAACGGCTACTAACTGGAAAGAAATTGATACCTACTCCGCTCGTGTTTTAGGTATAGCGATTCTGGTTTAGACCCAAACCATTTTGTATTCTAGACTTGGGTTTCGTGGTCTTGTATTGTTATTCTTGTCTTATTCTTTTTCCCTTTGTTGAGTTTGGATATGGGATTGTTTTGGTTGCGTTTGGAACAGGTTGGTAGCTTAGTTTTCAAACTTTTGTTGCCCAGAATTTTACTCTTCCGCTCGAGCGGGTTTTGTGAACTCTTAGTACTTTTGCAGGTCTGTAAAACTACTACGAGGGTGTATTCTACGCTCAAGCGGTGTTTTCTATGCTTGAGCGGCCATTTTTGGGCTCGAACGATGGTCTGTCCTCTGCAAAACTACTGGGAGTGTGTATTTTGCGCTCGAGCGTCAATTCTTGGGCTCGAGCGGTGCTACCCTTTGTCATTGTGTCTTTACACTCGAGCATCACTTCTTGCGCTTGAGCGGACTATGCGTATATCAGTTCATAAAAAAGTCATTTTACATCATTTTTTCAGATCTATTTCTCTCCAAACCCTAGAGTTGAGACTCTCTCTCTCTCTCTCTCTCTAAAACCTACATTCTCTCTACTCTTTTATCTAGATCTAGTGATTTCTCCACCCTTGTGCCTTTGTTAAAAAGGTATAGCACATCGTGGGTTCTCTTTTCATTTGAACAAAAGTGCGTTTCGTTGTCTTTGAAGTTTTCCCTTTGCTTTGCTCGCCTTCTACCTTTGAGGTGGGGACTTTCTACACTGTCCTATGATGTTTAACTTAGTTATTTGTTGTTATGTAAATAAATGTTGGGATTTGGAGGATTTTAGACAAATCTAGGGACTTAGGTTTAAAATCAAAAGTGGGGTTTTCAAGTGAAAGTATTGAAAATGATTGTGGGTATAGATATGAGAATGTGTTGTCTTAAAATTGTTGATTTTGACACATGGATTGGATTTTGGGAGAAAATGAAGCTTTGCCCTAATTTGTTCCTAATAATTATTTAGTATAAATAATGGAATTGGCATTGGAAATGTGAAATTGGATAGATGTTTATATAAATAATGGAGTTGGATATGTATTATCCCTTACTCATGGAAATTTAGATAATTTATCTATCTTAGAGATTGTATATTTGTTTAGAAATATTTGTTTTTTTTGGGCTATTGATGAAGGATAGCTATGATTGTTGTAGACATTGCATGGGGATTAGGTGAATTGAAACTAATCTCTTATTGGTTGTCATTGAACATGACTGTGTTTTAATACATTGTATATGTATGATGTTTGGGAGGAGAAAGGGATGTACTTCAAGTTTGGGAGGAGAAAAGGGATGGACTCCAGTGAATTAAGTTGGCCTGTGTATCCAGGGTGAAAGTCCCGAAAATCATTTGTATACATGGGTGCCGATCCCACGGACGAAATTTCCGTAAAATGGCAAATGAATGAATTTGTATGATAACTATACAGATTTGAGACTCAATGAGTTGTATCCTCAGTAGTCATTGATTGAATGAAATGGATATGAACAATGAAATGAGATAAAGCTTGGAAAATTATGATCTTGTGGATTATGAATGATTTTATCACGAGTATTGTTTATGCACATTACACTTATACCTTTGTTAAAATTCATATATTATGTTAGGTTGTTTCTACTGGGATTTGCCTCACCTTACTTGGGAAAAACCATTTTCAAGTGCTAGAGATATGCCTCCGCCAAGGACTTAGCTTGGGAGGACTATGGTGCTGTTATTTTGTGTTTAACTTTTGTACAAGTCTAGAGCTTTATTTGTATTGAGTTTCTAACTCATTTTGTTGTAACCAAACATGGTCTTGGAAAGATGCAAGCCTTTAGGGCATATGAATATCTATCTAGCTTTCATTTTTTATTACTACTTGTAACACATGTTGTAGATTCAGGATGGATTATTTATAAATGTATACCGCATGTGTCACCTTTTGTACAACAACTTTGATTAATGAAAGATCACTATTTTGTTTCTATCAATGTGTATATATTGTTGGGAGTTGGGTTATGGTATTTATTTTGGGGCGTCACATTAGGACTTTCACCATGTGACATTTTGTTTTCAGGGCTGCTCGAGTGGGGAAATTGCCGCTCGAGCGTAGAATTGTTGCTCCCAGCATTTTGTTGCACTTCAAGCGTGTCTGCTCAAGTGTGAAATGCCCCGCTCGAGCGTGAAATGTTAGCTTCCAGTAGTTTCACTGTAGTGCTGCAAAACTTCTGGAGTTTCTCTTTCTCCGCTTGAGCGAAGAAGTTGTCGCTCGAGCAGACCCTCTTGATTGTGTCTGGACACTCGAGCTTGGGAAGTCACGCTCGAGCGGGGAGCGCGATATCAGCTTTTTTAAATATGGTGATTCTAGATCATTCTCTTATCTCTTTTGTTCCATCTTCCATCTCCTCTTCCTCTCTCTATGGAACCCTAGATTTCTACCCCCTAATACCTCTCACACCTTTGAATTCCACTCAAAATCGCTTGCTAGAGGTGAAGAACACTGGAAGATTGTCATTATCTGCCGATTGGATTGTGGGTTTGCGATAGATTCGTGAAGAAGCTTGGATTTTGGGCTTGATAGTTGAGGTAGGAGTACTTTTATCCTTGTATGTCTTCATTTTTGAAGAGATTTCATGGTATTGTGTGTGATTTGTGAACTAATTGAAGATTTTGTTGGATTGAACCCTCATTTCACATGTTTACTCATTTGCTTAATATTTTGTTCGAAGTCTCTCAATTCCTTCTTTAAAATATGGATGTAAATGTGGTTAAAATCTAGATTGGTGATAAAGAATAGAAACCCCCAAATTTGGTGAAACCCTAAGTTCCCAAATTGAGTAGAAAATACTAAACTCAATGGAATTTCTTTTGATTCATAAAACTTTGAGAACAAAGGAGAGATGGGAAAAGTAGATATTGATGTAACTAAAAGAATTGTGGCTTGTATGCTATTGTTCTTTGAGTCTTATGTGATGTTCATATATGGTAATGTTTGATGTTTGATTTTGGGATTGAAATGTGAATTAATTGTTAAGCATGCATGAGTCCAATGTGTGAGTCGGTTTTGGGTAAACGTGGTGTTGTGTTGGTGCCCGCACAGGGAATTTAAAAAGGTGCCCAAATGCCATATCTAGGCTTATCGCTGGACGAATGTGGGAAAATGTTTTGGGGTGTCCACACAGTCCCGCCATATAATAGCCGACAAAAGTGGAAAAACGGATGGTTTTCCTTAGGGTGCCCACCTCCCGCAGTATGATAGTCGACAAATGTAGGGGTTGTTTGCTAAAAGTGAAAGTAAGGATTGTTCTCTATTGGACTCATGTAGGTGAATGGGTGACATGATTTCCATGGTTGTGGATGTTTAATTGTTTTACATGAAGACATGAATTGCAATTGTTTGTGCTATATTATTACGGTTCACTGGGAATTGTTGATGATTATCTATGAAGACGAATTTTATTGTATCGTCTTATCACATAAATACCATAAACTAGTTCAAAGGATTAGATACCAGGATAAATGTATTCCTACTGGGCATATAGCTCAACCCTAATTTATTTTTCAAGAATTGATGAAGTTCAACTTCACTGAAGGATTGGTTCAAGCATTGGCTCCATTTCCTTTTTGGGAAAAGTTGAAGTCAGGAGCATTTTGGTTGTTTCCTTTAAATTTGGGATTTTGTAACAGAATTACTGTATGTACTTTGTGATGTTGTACGCCTAAAGGGCTTATATTTTGTTAAGTCATCTAGTTCATTGAATTGAAAAGCAAAATTGAAACATTGTGGGAATGTATTCATTAAATTGTAATCAATTGATTATTAGTTCAATGAAAAAAATGACCTTTTGGAATTTAATGGCATCATGTTATTATTGTTCTTTATTGTATGAATTTCCAGGCTATTACACACCATGACTCTCAAACCAACTAAATTCTCAAATCCACAATTACATCCACTCTCCAGATTTTACCACGTTATCAACATTCCCAACATTTTCAAATAATAGCACAATCTCAATGTGAGGCCATGGGAGTGCAATGGATGCATGAAACAGTAATCTGTAACAAAATATTCCAATAAGAAATATATTTAGAGCATAACTCAACATTCTCAATAATTCCAAAATAGTGTGAGATTCTAATAAACTCATCAATTCTCAACATATATCCCATATTTCATAATTTCTATTATTTCCAATAAATCCAACAAATTCTAGATAACTAATATCTCCAA